AGTTAAATCAAAATGTGGTGACAACTACTGGCACTTGACCAAATACTAAAAGAATCTCAGCTGTTCAATAAATAAAACATTTGCTTCCAACTTGAGGCAAAACTTTTTAAGTTCATGGTTAGACAAATCTACAAAGATTGCATAAGAAGAACAGGTAAAGTAGATAATACATAGGGAGCTACAGCAGCCTCCTGGTAAGGAGCTGTGCTGCAACCTCAAAGGCAAGAGGCTCAAATCCATCAGCTGCTCAATAGTGGAAAGATGGGTAATCTCTTCCATTGCTATTTATAGCATCTGAAAACCTGCTAAAGGTTTTTTAATTAAACTATAATTTTATTTCCAAAAATTTATACATTTATAAAATTATATTTAAAATTTATTTATAAAACAGAAAAATTTATTTATAAAACTACAAATGAAATTTAAACTATAAACAAATTTTAAAAGTTGTATTGATAAAACTATAAATAAATTTCAACCTGATGTCAACAAGTTGACCTGAAATTGTTTATGTGGCAAATAAATGCTAAAATCAACCACGAAAATGAAGATCAGGGGGAATCTTTTGTAATAAACAAAAGATGTAAAACAAAAAGTAAACAGCTGCACATTCCTAGAATTTAAACTATGCACATTTTGTAGACTAACTGGAAACAATGCCTATTACAAGACCATTCTTACTAAGTCATGGACAAATTTTTTAAATTATAACACTACAACTAATTTCAGGGGTGCAGTCAAAGTCCTTTTCTTAAGAGCATGGATTAATTTCTTTTTCTTTTACAATTCAATTAAAAAGCTCTACTTTCTAAAAGCAATTAGATATATTTACTATTTCAAAAACAGGCACTGGGTTTCTGTAGTTCATGAACAAACCTGGATTTTTCAAAAACTCTTACCTCAAAAACTGTCACTGGGTGCCGCTGAGTCTTTCCCGACGCACAGTGATCCCCTGTCAGGGCAGCCCTAGCACTACCAGGTCTTTTCCCACAGAGTCCGAGTGGGTTCGAACTGTAAACCTTTCCTTTCATAATGAAGTGCTCAACTGCTGTGCCATCAGGCACATTTTACACACAGTCTTTATTGACTTCCCCCCACCCCACTGTAAAACACTCATATGATAAAAAGGATAGATGCAACAGAAACTTGATCAGTTTGGGAATCAAGACAGGCACTAAACTACAATATTAGAACCATACAATGGGCATTTAAAAACCAAATCCAAACCACCATTAGGTGCTTTATTTTCAAGACTTCTTAAAAGAAACACACTGTTATATTATTTGATGGAATGAGAGATGCCAACAATTGCAAAATGAACTATTTTTTTAAGAAAGGCTTTTCATTAAACCATTACATAATCCATTAAAAAAATGACGATTTTTTTTCTGTCTTCAATACACTGCTTGACGTTGTCAATGGCAACCCTTTTCCATACATCTCAATACAGAATAGTGCTTTGGTGGCCTAGTGATAAGGAGGTGCACGACCAACCCAAAGGCACATGGTTTGGATCCGTCAACTGCTCAGTGGAAGAAAAGATGGGCAATCTCCTGCTGCCTCTGAAAACCTGCTGAAGGGTCAGCTGTGAGTCAATTCCAACTCATCAATACATAGTAACACAACAACAAGAATACAGAATGAGAAAGATCTGGCAAGCTGTGCAAACCCTGTTAGGCAGTCCCACTCTACCCTATAGAGTCAATACCGCTGGAGATTAAATTGATGGCAATGGGTTTGGCTTCAAGACAAAACACAGCTTCATCAATCATGTGTTATCTTTCTTGGTTCCCTAAAGCATGTGATTATTCCCTCAGAAGAATAAATGGAATAGCGATCATTTCTAATAGAACAAATGTTTACTTTGTTAATACCAAATTTACATTCCTCTGCTTTGTTTCTGTCCTTTTCGGTTTACTCAGTAACATCTGGTTTCGACGTCAAATCCCAAAGATTCTTTTGGAGACAACAGAAAAGCATTTTTACCTAACATGCACAAGTACTAACTCCATGAACATCTTCAGTTGAAATGCTGACACTGAATGCAGTCCTAGGTTTGTACAAACGCAAACAATGACAACCTGGCAAGACACCATCAATTGTTAGATACATCCCAAATTCAGAGATGTTAGGTGTGAAAATTCTGTCCTAGCAGTAACAGCAAACACTCATGTGATATTACATAATAAGTATCAGCCTATGCACTTTGCCTCATAGAACTCTGAGTTAGGAAGAGATGGAGGCACAGAAGGGTTAATTTACTTACCCAAGATCATGGAGTTAGTACATGGCAAGTTCTGCATTAGCTAGGAAGTCAAAGACTAGCAGGCGCTATGCCATCCTGCCTTTCAAGCAAATAACTAGCTTTTGAGATCTTTGTCACATCATAAGGAAATCCTTACTAATTTGGAAAGGAAATAACTGGAATGAATGAGGAATTATGAAATTCTCTCCTTAGGAATAAAATTCTTTCATTCTATAATCATCTACAATAAAATTTTACTCCCACAGTGTTGTGCCCTTAAGCCAATATGATGAAAAAACTTCCATTGTCATTATTTATAAAAAAAGAACATCAATGTACAACAGACATGATTCAGAAGGTATTTAAGAAATAGAGGTATGTATAAGTATACTTACTACCTACTTCTCTTTTTTAGGAAGATGGTAAAAGGTAGATACAATTGATCCAATTTATAGACTTTCCTCTGCTTATGTACTATACATAGGATAGAAATTTGTTGCTGATATGTGCTACAGAGTCAGCTCCAACTTAAAATGACCCAATGTACAACAGAACAGCTGCGCCCATTTTCACAATCTGTGTTTAAATCAAACGCAGTCATAGTGCCAATACAGCCATTTAAAATTACTGTCCAAAATTATCATATAATATCAATGTGACATCTTTAATAGCTATTTACAATGTAAGACTCTGTTCCTTTGAAAATTCTGCTTGTATTTAAAGGAGAAAACAATAGATTAAAAACAGATACAAATCCAGCAACATTTTTCTCATGACCCAATTTGAGGGTAGAAAGCCTCCAGGCCTTAGTGGAACGTCATGGCTAATGGATTTTATTATATATGTCTGGCCAGATGCTCCCTCTCCTAGGGACCCTCTTTTAGGTTCATAGTCTCTGGTCACGAGGCAATACTGTGAAACATGAAATAATTCCTAATGTTTCACCTTGAAGCACTCCTACAAGAAAGAGACTGCACACTGTACAAGATATGCACACTGTCCTCAATGATCTCATTAGTCTTTCTTGATCAAAGTGAGATAAAATCCACATAACTACCAAAAAATTAACTCTTGTAATGCAAACAATTCAGTGGTTTTATTTACAATATATATTTACCTGGACCTTCATCTAGTTCCAAAACATTTTCATCATCTCAAAAGAAAACTTCACATGCATTAAGCAGCTACTCCCCATTCCTCCTTCCCTCAAGCTTCTAGTAAGCACCAGTCTGCTTTAAGTTTCTCTGGGTTTATCTAGTCTCAATATTTAAAATAAACATTAAGAACAGCAATTATGATAATATTAATAAAAATAATAACGTCTTTTTCTCCCTTCACTTAGCATTGTGTTTTGTTGTTTCGAGGTCCAACCATGTTTAAGGTGTGTAGCAAGATTTCATTTCTTTTTATGACTCAGTTCTCTTCCAGTATATATATATATACCACAAATTATCTGTTGATCTATTGATGAACAATTGTTTCTATCTTTTAATTAACAGTGTCATTCTTTCTTAAATGTCAAATAGGTAACATAAATACGTATCACTTTTGGGTTGTTTTTCTCTTTTACACATGCACAGTCTTACACCTAAGAATAACTTGCCATCATGCTGATTTTAACTCAAGGAGATTCTATGTATGCCACACTAGAACTGTGCTCCCTAAAGTTCTAAACAGCTGACTTCAGAGATAGATAACAAAGTCTTTTGGTTTTTCAGAGGTAGATAACGAAATCTTTCTTCTGAGGCATCTCGGAGTAGACTGAAATTAATTCCCAACCTTCTGGCTGGCCGTCAAGTATGTTAATCATCTGTACCGGCTAGGAACTCTGAAAGGGAGCTCCGCTAGCCTTGTCAGTAGAGACTTTTGCTGCTAACCCACCACTGGCTGGTTCAAACCCATCAGTGGCTAAGTGGGAGGAAAATAACCAGTCTCCTCCTGTGCAATTTACAGTGTTTGAAATCTGACTGGAGGAGCAGCAAGTAGTCAGTTACAACTCAACAACCAGAGGGAGGGACTTTGAAAATAATCTATCTAAAAGAAATCAGAGAAAACATTACAACTCCGAAGAAAATGTAAAAACATTATTTATATAAATGAACGTATGTACATGTGTTATATTTAACATATCCCAAAACAGATACATATTGTTTTACACACACACCTCCCCTCACTGCTGATGAGTCAATTCTGATTCATGAAGACCCTAAATCAGGTTTCCGAGGCTGTAAATCTTAGCACAAAGAGACTGTCGCCTTTGACCTTTCTCACATACAGAAGATGATGGATTACAACCACTAACACTGAAGTTAACAGTGCACCACATTATACATTTCGCCACTAGAGTCATATAAATATATATGACCGTCTGAACAAAATATGAGTTTATATGTGGTACAACTGGTAAGCGCTCAACTTAACCATTAAGCCCATATGGTTAAACACTTGACTTAACCACAATCAGTGTGTGGTACAAATGGTTAAGCACTCAACTCAAAAGGCAGAAATCACCCAAGGAGTCTCAAAAGAAAAGTCCTGGTTCTGCAAGGTCCTGGCCTTGAAACCCCTCTGGAGCACAGTCCTATTTGACGCATGCAGACGGTCATCAGTTAGAACGAAACTGACAGCAAGTGGTTTTGTTTTCTTTATTAACATATTGGCAAAAATTGGTTTAATAAAGCAATGACCAAAAAAGTTAGAAAATGATCCATAAAGGAAGGCTCTCATAAGAACAAAGAATTTTACTGTTACCTACCTTCCCATGCTGCCCAATTCTTTCAAAACAAATTACAACATCTTCCCACATTTCTAGTTTCTCATATATCTGCAGGGCTGAACTGGTACATCCCAACTCAAAGAGTAAACTTGCAAGTTGACGCTGGAAAAATCAAGTTAAAATAATTAATGTTTTTTGATACACTGAAAGCTTCCTGTTTAACGCTGAAATCTACTCAATCTGCCTTTTCTTAGGGTTTCCTTAATGTATAAAAGTACCATTTCTATAATTCAACCTCAACAGTTATAAGAAAATGACAATACAGAAAGACAGCAGATCAACATTTTTCATAAAACACCATAAAAGCTTATCTAGAGATGCCCTATGTTGTTGTTATGTGTTGTTGACTCACCTGCGACTCATAGTGACCCTGCACACGCTAGCTCTGAACCCTGTCTTATTCTGAGCCAATCTCCCTAATACCCCAGTCACTGTGTCAATTCATCTCATACAGGGTATTCCTCTCCTATATATATGAGATATTCTTATTTGTAAGTTTAAAAAGTAGTAACATATAAGGAGGCTAAACAGTCAATAGAGATGATATAAAACACACATTCTATGTCATGTACTTTAAAGCACGGCACATTTTTACTCTGGCTCCTTATTACTCAGATCTATCTAGATGTACTTAAGCACAATTTAAAAAAATTAGATAATATCTGACTCTTTGACAAATAAACGGCACAAATGAAGTTTACATAAACACATTTTTTAAAATACACTGCAGAAATGTATGGGACTGATCCTTTGAAACACAATGTGAATGAAGCAATGTGTGAATTACAATCTATATGAATGAAAAAACCTTTTAATACAAAATAAATAATACATTATAGATTATACATGGTCTATCATGCAGAAATCAAAAACATTAGGTAAAAAAGTTTGTAAAAGTTTTTTAAAAAGATATAGCTAAAGTGAGAGTTGTGGATTTCTTTCTCAGTACATAATTAAAAGTTAAGAAACTACTGTTGAATGTGAAGATATGGGATGGCCAAAATAAAATATAGCTGAAAAGAATAGAGTTAACAAAAGCATCAGAATAAATAAGGAGAGTTTCTGTTGTTGCATAATGTCAAGGGGAATAATCCACAGCTAACCCTCCAGTGGGTTTTCAGAGGCAGTAAAATACAAGGCAGGACACTGGCCATCTGTCTTCTGCAGATCAACTGACAGATTTGAAGGATACCTTTCTGCTGGAAATGCAAATCCTTACCTCTAAAGCACCAGAGCAGCACAATATTTCACACTGTGTAAAAATAAAGGGAATCTGGATATTTTTAAAGTATCTGGACACTTCCAAAAACTGAACTAACAGAGATCTGAGTGCTCATGCAGTAAGAAGTAAAATCCTTTTTTTTTTTTTAAATAAAGAAAGGTGATGGCATTCAAGACAACATGGCTAACTTGTGGTAAAGATTCTCTTTTTATTATGATAAAAAGGGCTCCTAATTCTTGATTACTGAAATAACACACAAGGATATGGTTACTCCCTACAACGCTCCCCACAGAAGTGGTTTAATGGTTTACTTAAATGGGATATTTATCAAACCGCCTAAGGACCTTAAAACCACAGCTTCACAGACATATTAAACAAACATGTAGCCACATTCTTTTTGAATAGTATTTAAGTTTCCCAATGCTTCTGTTCAGACACAAATTAAAGGCTACACCCTCAGCAGACACTGTATTATAATAATAGCTCAGTGTCTGAGATGTTTAGTCATCACAAACCACACAGTATAAAGCATTTAAATTTCACAGATCAGGGTCAAAACATGCCAACAAATTCCAGCTGTTAACATCTTGCTGATGAAAAAGCTACTTCTTTTCGATGATAGAAATCCACTGCCATCGAGTTGATTCTGGCTCACAGGAAACTTAAAAGACAGAGCAGAACTGTCCCGTAGGGTTTCAAAGGCTGTAAATTTTTACTGAAGCTGACTGCCACATCTTTATTCCACAGAATATTCAAAACTCTGACCTTTTCTTTAGGAGCCGAGTGCTTTATGCCTATGCCATGAGGGCTCCTTTCATGGTACTACAGCAGAACTTCATACTTGCTTAGGTTTTTTTAAGACTCCTGTAATATATAAAATGAATTACAATGAAAGATGTGTCCTCTCCATAAAAAATACAGCCTACTCTAAGGAGTCTCGGAGAAAATGTAAACCATTGACTAGTGGGCTGGCATTTCTAAATCGAAGTCACACTGCTGCTGACAGTGGCTATGCAAGAGACAAGATCAAGGACACATGATGAGTTGGAATCGACTTAATGGCACCTAAAAGCAGCCAAAGCACCCAAGTGCATAGTCCACATGAAGAGAGGGCAGGAAGTTGATCAAAATTATAATAATTACCCAATCATCTCTAGAAAGCTCTAGCTGGTTCCATTTTCCTTTATGTCCTGAAGGGCTTTGAGAATACTGCAGCTACTTAACAGGGAGCCCTGGTGGCCCTGAAGTAAGAAGCTGTGCTGTGAACCCAAAGGCATGTGGTTCAAACCGACTAGCTGCTCTGCGGGAAAAAGATGGGCAATCTCCTCCTGTGTGATTTACTGACTCTAAAAACCCACTGTAGGATCAGCTATGGTTCTGTTTCCCTCGGAAGCACACAGCAACAATGATATAGCTACTTAACATCTATCTCTGTGCCTTAGCCTCATCTGTAAAATGGCACTACTTTCCAAATTGTTACAATAAAAATAAGTATATGGAATTTCCCAACAACAGTAACAAAGTTCAACAGAGGAGCAAATAATCAATGTTGGCTAGGTTGTGGTGAGACTGTGACTCTTATTCACAGTGTGGTGAGACTGTGACTGCTAGCAGGAGTGTAAAATGGTACAGCTTCTATGGAAGGCAGTTTGATGCTTTCTCAAAAAGTTGGAAAAAGAAATACCATTTGATCCAGCAATTTCACAACTGGGCATATTCCTTAAAGAAACCAGAACTGCCACCCAAGCAGATATATGCATGTCCGTGCTCATCACTGCATTGTTCACAGTAGCAAAGGGATGGAAACAATCCAAGTGCCCGTCAACAAATGAACGGAAAGAGAAGCTATGGCATATTCACACAATGGAATACTATGAAGCACTGAAAACCAAGAAACTCACTAAATATTATACAAAATGGGTGACCCTGGAGGATGTTATGCTGAGTGAAATACTTCAGTTACAAAAGGACAAATACTGCATAGTGCCACCGCTGTAAAACAGGACTGACATCAGAGTTGAGGGGAAACTAACAAAAGAGGGGATAAAGAATATACACTGGATGGAAACAGATGAGGGAAAGAACTGTTTGAAAGAAATATATGATTAGGTATTATTTGTATGGTAACAGTCCAGAATAAGAGCTGCATAGTAAAGTGGACTGGGGGAGGGGGAATTATATACAGTGAGTTGTTTGTTTGTTTTCAAAGAGAAAAGTGAACTGGGGGGGAGGGAGGTAGGGAGGAAAATGTGCAACAACGAAAGAATGGAAATCATAAACTTTCATTAAAATCTCAATTTTTAAAAAAAATTGTTGGAAAAAGAAATACAATTTGACCCAGCAATGCCACTAACAGAACCACTATCCAAATAGATATGTGCACACCCATGTTTACTGCTACATTATTTACAATAACAAAGAAATGGAAGCAGCCCAAGTGCCCATCAACAAAAAACATGGACAGAAAAACTATGGTATATTCATGCAATGACATGCTAAGCAGCACTGAAAACAAGGAACTCATAAAATATTATACAAAATGGATGACTCTGGAGGACATTATGCTGAGTGAAATACTTCAGTCACAAAAGGACAAATACTGCATAATGCAATTGTTACAAAATCGGACGGACACATAGGTTGAGGGGAAACTAGGAAAAAAATGGGATAAATACTGAACACTGCATTGAAATGGATGAGAGAAAGAACTGTCTAAAAGAAATATATGATTGGGTATTATTTGCAATACAACAGTCCAGAATGAGAGGTGCATAGCAAGGTGGACTGGGGACTGGGGGTTGGGAGGAAATTGTACAACAATGAAAGCATCTTTTTAAAGAGAACAGTCAACTGGAGGAGAAGGTAAGGGAGGGAAATGTGCAACAATGAATGGAAATTCAAGTTTTCTGTAAACTTTCATTAAAATAAAAACAGAAAATTAACATTGGACTAGATGTCTAAGTTTAATTCTAAAATTTTACAAATTAGCGTGCTATAACTATACTATTACCATGATGCAAACTGTTAAAATGTCTACTTCAAATGCAACTTTAGGAACTACAATATGTAGATAGTACATGCCCTCAAAAAAGAGCAGTGGATACAGAAAATATCCCACAGTGGCCTAGTGGCAAGAAGCTGTGCTACAATCCTGAAAGCTGGCAGTTCAAATCCACCAGCTGCTTCACGGTAAAAGGATGGGCAAACCCATCTGAGTGATTAACTGCCTCTGAAAACCCACCGGAGAGTCAGCTATGGGTCGGTTTCAACTCTATGGTACACAACAACAAATAATATCTAATAAATGCTTTCTCTTACATTCTGTAAACAACTTGGCTCAGTTTCTGGCAGAAAAATCCTCAGAGGGCTCTTTAAATGAAACTTTCATGATTTTCCTCTAATTTAATTTCTAGAGTTCTATTTTTAGTTTTAAATTCTCTGACAATTCAGCAATCTGCCAATACCCACATAGATTATTTTATTCTTTTCATTGAAACATTTGAAAATTCATATAGAAATAAAAATTGTTTTTTTATAATAGACTTGCCTTCTAGTGCTAAGTAGTTTCTATATCCAAGGAAAACAGCAACAAAAATACCTGAATGGCCCAGTGAGGAGGTACTTGACAGCAATAGAAAATCTTCAGCCGCTCCAATACAGATGTAGTTTTATCTTCAAACTGGTCTGCAAGAGCCTAAAGGCACAAATTACAATGAGCACCTGTCTGTAGTAATCTTTTATATGCAATAGTTATAAAATGTATTTAAACATGTGTATAATTAAGCCATTATGTTAACATTAAGATGCATTAGTATTTTCTTAAATTTTGAAACAAACTATCAGTTCAGAATTTACATATAAATGACCACCACCAGAAAATCGCTTTTAAAAGTAATATTTCTAATAGTTGCTCTTTCAAAACCTAGCCTTATTCATGAACCTTTGTACTCAAAAAAATTTCTATGTAAAAATTATTCTTAGTATATATATGTATAAATGAAATATATACATATTTCATTTGTAATGATACCTTTTCTTAGTCTATTTATTACTTAACTGCAACTTGGGTGACGCTGCTACAGTAGTGGTTGGGTGCTACTGAGCTGATTCCAACTCATCGTGACACTATGTACTGCAGAATCTGTCACTGTTATGTTGGAGCCACTGTGAGTCACTGTGTCAATCCACCTTGTTAAAAATATTCTTTTTCTCTGATCCTCTACTTAACCAAGCATGATATCCTTCTTTAAGGACTGGTTCTTCCTGGCAATATGTCCAAAGTGTGTAAGACAAAGTCTCACCATCCTCATTTCCAAGGAACACTCCAGCTGCACTTTCTTTCAAGACAGATTTGTGCATTCTTCTGATCATACTGGGTATACTAAATATTCTTCAACAACGCAATTCAAAGGTTTCAATTCTTCCTTCGCTTTTGTATAAATGAAAGGTGAAAGAAAATATCATGACTCGGATCAGATATACCTTTGTCCTCAAACTCCCTTCTCTGCTTTGAAACGCTTTCAAGAGGTCTGTTTGAGGACTGTTTAATTTTTTGACTGCTACTTACATGAGTATTAATTATGGATCCTAAAAAAATTAAATCCTTGACAAATTCAATCTTTTATTTATTATTATGTGCTAATTAGTGCAACTCTGAGGATTTTTTGTTTCCTTTATATAATTCATACTGTAGGCTGCAGACTTTGATCCTCATCAGTAAGTGGTTAATGTACTCTTTGCTTGAGAAAGTAAGACTATATTATCTGCACAGTATATGTTGCTAATGAGTCTGTGTGTTAGCTTAAAAGTTGGCTTTTCAAGCCATTATGTTGGCCCCTTTTTGTTCCCAGTTACCTTAACTGCAGACACACGGTCTGGCAAATCATCAACAACAGTGAGACTAGGATAAAAGAGAGAGAAAAAGAGTTCTTTCCACATTATGCAATAAGACTTGAGGGAGACTGGAACAAAAACTTGATGTGAGTGAGACACTCTTGATGGTGGTCAAGAAATTGCGGCATTGCTGTAGAGACACTAACTGTGGCAAGGTGTAGCCAAAGAAACTCTGAGAGATAAATGCTACAGTTAAAGGTTTTGCTGTTCTTGCCAGATGCTACAAGGAAAAGGTAAGTTATAACTACTTGAGGCAAACCTTGCTGAATGATTTAGATTTTTATTGCTGAAGTGAAACCAAGACTTTCACTAATTAGGGAATTGTGTTTTGCTGTTTATCTGTCTTGGGACTGCTAGCTTAAATCTGGACTTGCACTGTGATATATTCTTTGCCTCTCCCACTCCCCAACCTATTTCTCTAATAAACTCCATTCTTGGTACCACACTGTTAGTAAAGTCTGTGAGTAACAATGAATACAGAACCCAGTGATTGGTGGAAATAGGTGCAGGAGCATGAAGTGTGGTGAACCTGCCCTAGCAGCTTTCTGTTTGCTATTATGGATATTCTTCTGCTGTTATGAATATTATTGGTGGGGAAAGTTCTTTTTTATGAAGCAAGGAGAAGTCAGACTTGGCCACAGTCATCCCCACATTGTATATGCTCCCTAGACAAAGTCTTTGTCCATTCCTGATGCCACATTCTTCTTTATGTACTATGGACAATGATACTTGCAATAAACCAGAAAGAACTTCATTTAAGCCTATCTTCTTAGCAACAAAGCGAAAAGAAGTAGGTCTATCTAATCAAATAGAAGGAGCTGCTTCATTCTTCAGCTATAGGCTTATTATGTGAGCTATGCATACATGAGACCTTGGGTTATGGTGCAATGAGTACATGTAAACTTCAAGCACTGAGGAAATCTCTCAATGAACTGAACTTCTCTCACTAGTACTGAATAACTAAACACTCTGAAACTGTATCAAGAAACAGGTCATCAAGACAGCACAGAAAAGTTCTAGAGTAAGTTACAAAGTAAGGGGTTCTCACTATTCAGTGACACAAACAATTAATGCCCTCAGTTGCTAACCAAGTGTGGTGGTTCAAGTCCACTCAAAGGTGCCTCAGAAAGGAAGGGTCCTATGAGTTGGCATCAACTCAATGGCAAAAGAGGGGAAAACAGTATTGATCAAGTGACTAGTCACCCAAAGAGCTCACAAATACAACATTAGAGATGGTGCAGACACACGCTGATATTCTTAGGCAAAATGCAAACACCGCAGCACCACTGCCATGATCATCCTAACTTGTTTAGTTTGCAATTCTGTTAATTTATAAGTACACTTCCTTTTCTGATTCTATGTACTTAAATGTTTTCTCAACTGTAAATCCACCTTCATGACCTTTTATGTATAATGTAATACTAATATTTTCCATTTTTTGCATTTATCTAGTTAGAGTTCAAACTGTCATCTAAGGATTGCTGTGGTTAGGTGCCACAGAATTGGCTCCAGCTCATAGAGACCCTAAATAAAACAGCCTAATGATGCCTGGCCCTGTGCTGACCTCAAAATCTCAGCTGTGCTACTGTGTCAATTCATTTCATTGTCTTTAATTATTTTGTTGGTGGTGGTGGTGGTTTTCCAGCTATGAAGTCTTTCTCTAGGGACTGGCCTCTCCTGAAATGTGGGATATAAAGTCTCACCATCTTCTCTTTTGAAGAGCATTCTGGCATAAACAGACTTTTTGTGTTCTTTTGACAATCCATAGTATATTCAATATTTCTGTAAACACTACAATGCAAAGGCCTCCACTCTCCTTATGAAAATTAGATGGCAATGTTATACGGTGCTAGTTTTCTACTTTTAATGGCCAGACTATGGTTATGTAAAAATTGGTCCTTGTATTTAAAGATGACAGAGCACTGTGTTAGCGACTTAACCTCAAACATTTCAGGACACAAAAGGCATTTGTATTATCTCTGCTATTTTTTGGACAGTTTGGAATGGTTTTACACTACATTGCCATTAACATCCTCATTTGTTGAAAAGGATCAAATTTTACATAATACATTAAAAAAAACATCCGGAAAAGGTACAAGTCCTTGAAAATGACAGGAGTCTAGCATATGATAGGACAGTAAAATCCCAAGGTAAGAAGATAAGTTTCTGAGGAGGAAAACTGCTCCTAAGTAGGAAGTTCTATGAATTATATTAGAGGAAGACACATTTGTTAGTCTAACCCTGTAAGTTACTTATTGTACATGAGGTGAAGTATGAGATAATACTCATTACATCATTTTTTAACAATCCAAGAATGTTATTCAATCAAGACAGAACAAACTGACACATAACCAGAATCTAAAACAATCTTGGATAAAAATTCATTTTTAAATGTTTCTGGGCATGCTTCACAGAAATGTAATAACAAAAAGGTTTTCTGAGTCTGCCAAAGCTGTTTTGAGTGTGTGTAGCAGAGAGTAACTTTGGGCCAAATATATGCATGGTTATAAACCTAAATAAAGAGATCACTGAATTACTCAATAAATTGTTGCTTTTGTTAGGTGCCATCAAGTTGAGTACAACCCATAGCAACTCTGTAAGCAACAGATCTAAATTCTGTCCTATCCTGTGCCATCAGCACACTCCTGACACATTAAAGCCCACTGTGGCAGTCACTGTGTCAATCCACCTGGTCAAGGGTTTTCCTCTAC